TGCAACATATCTCCACCCCTTCAGACTGCAGGCACTGTACTTCTCACCGCCAGAAGTGAAGTCCGGCAAACCGGTTTCCTTGAATCCCTTCATAAATGTTACTTTGCTCACAGTCCAACAGTTAGGAAAGTGGGAGTGATATGGGAGCGAGAGGGCTAGAGATTGAGGAGCAAGAGGTGGCTGGTAATTTAGTAGCAAGGTAGGATCAGCTATCACTTAATCATCTACACAACAATTTCTTACTCCTTTATATTATCATGAAAAGCACTAAACACGTAAAGGTCCTTCAGCGCGAACCACTTTAATAACGCAGTTGTGCGAGAAAGGTACACAACGGTATTGTATACCTTTCTTACCTTTCTTGCACAACTTGTCAGATACTGTAACATCATGGAACCAGAATCTCTACAACTACAGTGCTCTCCACAGCAACTCCAAGGCTGAGGGACTGATTACTTCATCTTTTATATATAGTTCTACTGTCTTCTATTTATGTTCTAGAATCTATATTGATAAAGCCACTGGATAGCGAAACGCCTACAATAAAGATAACCAGATGTTCCACACGTGTCTTAACTTTCATCCCTTTAATAACGTATCTGACTTTTTCCGTCCCTAAAACCTATCCTGGACATACATGTTTTTTTCAATACCAGCAGTTATCTTTACTATTGTCTGTATTTATTACCCTATCTCACATCTTAATGTGAACATGGCTGTGGTCTCTATGGCACTTTAGTATTATGAGCCTCTTTAATTAAATGAACTTTTAAAAAATCCAACCCTCCTCTGTGTTCCTTCAGGTGTGGAGTTCAGCAGCTCAGGAGGTGGAGGACGAAGTTGGCATCCCTAAAGAGCAGCTGAGAGATATTACACTTCTAGGGGTCCTTCTCAATATGGAAGCTGGAGGGCGACCTTCCCTCGAGTTCTTCATTAGGTGCGTCGGAGTGCAAGTATTTTAACTGTCAAACACGTACAAGACACACTCAAGTCATTTCGAATCATGAGGGAGAGAATAGAGATGCAGCAACAACAGTACAGTACTGTCGCATTATTGTACTCCACAGGTGTGGTCTGAGCAGCAGTGAAGTGAAAGAGGCGTACGAGAGAGGCTGTCAGTCAGAGGCTGAGGAGACCACCTCCCTCCACCTCCTACCTCCGCCCACAGTGGCCCTCATCTCGAAATTCCTCTATCCACCTCCACCCACAGGTGAGACCTCCATTTCTCCTCTCACACCAACCCCCACTCACACATTCCACCCAGCCCAAGGAAATTAACAGCAGTCAGTCCATCTGTCATCATTCTATCTTGCAGGAGCCACATGTTATGGTACATCCAACAAAATCATCAGTCTTGGATGTCAATACTTAGTGGCTTCAGCTGGGCTACAAGTGTCTCTGGAAGGTTGCATCACCAACTGATGTAGACATAACTAAACGTAAACTTTGTCAGCGACTATTGTCACACCATGTGTCGTTATGTGATGGAATGCGATAAAATGATTGAATTCAGAGACAACTCACTCACAAATGTATGAGAAATGTCGAAGTATTTTATCTAGAGTTGCATATTATAAACATTTCTGGAAAAATACCCTGACTGCACATCGAGAATAACTCGTAACCACTTAAACGTGTTTAATTTTAACCATACGTTGTTAAAATATAAAGTAATATAAATAATTAAAATCCACATACCTGCTACACTAATATTTTTGTGACTTAATTCATGTCTGTATAAAAATAACTTGTTGCGATTGTAATCAGATATAAACATTTAAATAATTTATTACTAATGTACCTTGGCTATCAGAAGTTTGGTGATCAATATGTGTCCCATAGGGTGGGTATAGGGTGCATAATAAAGATATTAAGCTGAACTTAACCTAGTGCTGGAAATAAAGGTAAAGAGAAGCTCCTGTAGGCTTTCTCCAGCACTGTTTTCCCTGTAGGGTTACCTCTGGGAGGTACCCTTGTTGAATTTTCTCAGGACAGTCACCCCTGCGATTTCCCGAGTATAGTTTCCTCTGAGGTCCACTGGTAGAGCTTGGCTGCGAGATTTCCTCGAGGAGGTCGGGTTGGTCTTGGAGGTCGTCACCTCAAATGAATGCGTACAGCGCACAATCCCAAGGTCTCCCATTCAGCTGCCACCACCATCACCACCACTACTATTCCCAACCTCATATCCACCTTAATAATCGACCTGCCCCGTCCCACCGAGGAGATGGGTGCTGCCATTTCCCCCCCCCCTCCCCCTTACTCAGTCTTGGCCTAATAGTGGTCAATTATAGACCAAAATATCCTGTTTTTATTTCCGTTGTGTGGCAAGTTATGAATTATTCTGGCTAGGACATTGTGACTTGCATTATTTTAAGCCCGTCTAGTCAGGTCTCCCTTGCAGTAGGAGAGAACATCATGCTCCTGACGAAGGGAAGTGTCAAGAAGGGTTTACTAGAGGATGGAGAATAGTTTGATGGAGATAGGGTGGACGGAAGAGTGT